CTTTCGGAAAGATTGAACAATAAGAAAAGCATTTTTTCAAAGTTGAAGGCATACAATTGAAGAAGCTCATTTTTAATACAGATAAAACTGTATTGTTTGTACACTCAAATTGATTGCCCCATGTTCCTCCGATAGCAGATGCAACCGATGGCAAGCCACCACATTGTTTTGCAACCAATGGCAACCGATCCTTTGAAGATATCAACGCATTTGCAGATAATCTGAGAACTACCTTCTCAATTATCCCCAAACAGTCATCATCTGATAGACTCTGCAAATCATACCTACAAATAGGAAACTGTTTCTCTAGCACAGATGCTCCACTTTCACAACGGGTTGTTAGGACAATAGAGTTCCCATTGGTTTTCACAATTTTTGAAAAACTAGAGGCAAAAACATTCCACTTGTTAGGATCTCTTTCCCGCACATCATCAAGAATGAGAAGAAAAGTTTTGTTTTCTAGTTGGTGGCCTAGATCATGAAGCAGTACATCAGTTGTATAATTTTTATTTTGAGGGAGATGAAAAAATTCTAACATCTCACCCAAAATTCTTTGATGATTAAAATCCTCAGATACACACACCCAGGCTACTACATCATAGAGCTTTTCTTCCTTTGCCTTCATATAAACTGACCTTGCTACTGTTGTCTTTCCAACTCCTGGCATACCTACTATTGAAATGCCAGAGATTGGATGTTGAGTCTTTTGGTCATCCAGCAAGTAGACAATTTTTGAGACATCATCCTCCCTTCCAACAACTTCTGAAGAATCAAGAAGGTGGACCATCTCATCATATGGCCAAGCAGTTGCACTGTTTCGCTCTCCAAGTTGGATAACCAGATAAATAAGTGGTACCAGCATTCTAATTTCAGCTAAAGATTCATTAATCATCTCAAATTTTTTAGCCATAGAAAAGAAGGCGTGCACCTGTTTCAGCCTCTGGATTGAAGTCTGAACTTCCTTCTGAAGAACAAGTATACCGTAATCACACTTATCAAGCAAATCCACCGCATCATAAACAGCATCGTTGAGCTTCTGCAACCAAGGCCTGATGGCGGGATCACTTTCTTGCCTCTGCTCGGCGCCTTGTGCAACATCTTGAATTTCGGTTAGCGACTGAGCAAGATCTGCCAACTGCTTCTGCAGAACGGGGGGAAGGCTGACCTGTCCAGCAGCAATTGAAGTTGCTTTGGAAAGTGCCTCAGGCATAAGAGGAGTGATGAGGATGAGGCCGGTATCAGCCATACTATGCAATTACAATTGAATTCTGAGAGAGAGATTCTAGTGCTGTGAATTGTGTGAGGTATTGAGGGCAGCAAGTTGACTTGTCTATAGGACGGGAAGGTTGCGTCAATTTAGGGAAATGAAACGTAAATGAAAAGGCATTAATTTGGCAGGCATTTCATTTGGGTGAGACCAGTGCCACGGCTTAATAGATTTGCTTTTTATTTTTTTGTTTTGTTTGATTATTTTACCCCTGTTTGATTCCTTTTTGTTTATTTGTCCCTTTCTAAGAAAAATTGAAAATACGAAAAAAAAAAAATTTTTTTTCAATTATTTAATTAAAGTTAAATTTTTAGTTTATCAATTATTTAATTAAAATTATATTTTTTTATTTATATCATAAATGTTTAGATTAAAAATATATTTTTTATATTTTTTATTATTAATTCAAATAAAAAAATAAAAATTTATTTAAATTTTATTAATTATCTAATTAAATTATTGCACGTAGTATTAATGTTAAAAATAAATTTTAAT